AACCATTTTACCTGGTTACTAGCCTTAAACTGCTCCTGTTCCAACTATATTTGGAATGTGTTGCAGGTCTGACTGACAGGAAAATATGTATTTACAAATTAAATGAAGTTGACCAATTTCAAAACATGAACTATTTTGTGTTTATATTGTCTGCAATGAAATACAAGTTAAAATAAAATTGGAAATTACTACTATCAGTGGGTTTAAAAAAACAAACAAACATACAATGCATTTGTCCACTATTCCTACGAATATACCTGTGTACAAACACACCAGGTCACAAAATATTAATTCAAATACAGAACTGCACAATTGTTAATTAGCAGATATTTTTGCACGCTCCACAAAAACAACTGGCTTTTCAGACTATTGTTTTGATATCGCTCTTCCTTCCTTTTGAGACACAGGCCATTTGTGTTTTCTGCCAATATACAAAAAGAGACTGTGCCGTAAAGCAGGTTTGAGGTGTAAAAAGTGAACTCCCTGCTCTCTGTCACAGGAGAGAGCAAATGTGTTTAGCTGCCGTCTCTGAGACAATACACTCATCAGTACGGGGTCTTGGCTCTTCTTTGACAGGATGTTTATCTCTTCCTCTGAACAATGAACGCTCATCCTGGCAGACAAAATTCTCCAGGCTTCTTCAATATTCTTAAGGCTCGATCCTTCATAACTATTCCTGAGTGCACATTTTTGGGTGTTTTAGGTGAATAAATCATCAAAACTGCCAGCACTTATACCTGGACTCAGTACCTGGATGGGAGACCACAGAGAGAGGCCAGCAGGGAGTGCTCAACCTGTTGTCTGTGTGGGTCCTAATGCCCCAGTATAGTGAAGGGGAAACTGTACTGTCAGTGAGCACTGTCCTTCGGATAAGATGTTAAACTGAAGTCCTGACTCACTGTGGTCATTAAAAATACCAGGATGTCCTTTGAAAAGAGTAGGGGTGTAACCCTGGAATTTGCCCAAATTTGCCAATTGACTGACCATCATGGCCCCCTAACCATCCCTGTATCCTAATTGACATCATCACTCAATCTGGTAAAATAAATGTCTGCCTTCGCGTCATCAATGTGAATGTGTTTATATAAAATGTAATGAATTACCATTATCAATATAACTCTGAACGGGCTGAACGAACAAAGTAAATAAGCAACTTTAATTGGCATGAAGTGATTTCCCTTTGTTGAGTTATCAAGGGGATTATGAGGTTTTATAACAGAAGAAAATCATGTAATATCCAGTGGGATTTGTCCAAATTAATGTTCAATTTTAACGAGATTAAATGTTGGCAAGTAACAAACTCAAAGGCCATGGGGGGTGTAGAAAAACACAGTAATAAAGGCAAGTGTCAAGCTGAGAAAGAACAGTAAAGTTCATTCCACTCATGGCAGGGGTCATTTCCGCTCAAATCACCTTGTCCCCCGCTCAAAGATCAGCTCTTTAGTCAGCTAAATCATATCTAAAATCACAAAAAGGAGATATTTTGTGTTAACAGCTTTTTGTGCCTGATATATATACTGCAGAGGTGTGTTTTTAAAATGAATGAAAATAGTTCATAGTGCACTACTCACTTTTATTCTAAAACAATGATAGGAATAAATTAGTATTTGTACATATGTTGTACATAACTTCATATATACACAGACACTTTTCAAAAGTTTGGGCTCAGAAATATATTTTTTAAACACATTAAATTTATAAGAAGGGATTGTAAATACTTTTAAAGACTGTGCTTAACCATTGTCATTCCCTATTTGCAAAACAATGTGAAATAATCATTGCCTGTTGTTTGTGATTGATGTATGTTTTTTCATTTGAACAATCTTAATCACTGCATTATAACAATGCTTGTTGTTGTTGAAAAGTTTTTTAAAATTACTTTTGTTAACATTTTGAGTGGTCTGAAATGAATTATTCTGTTATTGTAGAGATTTAATTTTACATACAGTATGTGTCTTCTGTACATTGTACGAGTCAAAATGATAGATTTTTCTTTTATATGAAATAATAGTTAAGAAGACATTTTGTATTTTCCTACTGTAAAATAAAAATAATATATATTTGATTAATAGGCAGTTCATTCCGCTGTGGCGACCCCGGATTAATAAAGGGACTAAGCCGGCAAGAAAATGAATGAATGAATGATTTGATTAGTAATACGCAAAGAAATTATTTTGAACAACTTTAATGATGATTTTCTCAATATTAATTTTTTTGAAACCTCATATTATAGATTTTTAAAAGGTTGTATATCGATCAAACACTCAAAAAAACAAAAACATTTTTGCTAATTCAAAATGAGCTAAAACAACACACTTCTTGAGATTTCATTAGGACAACTTAATTGTTTTATGTACAATCCACACAATTTGTTAAAAGTGTTAAGTTAGCTTAATCAATTTGTGTTGGGACATGAATAAATTGTGTGAAACCCTGCTGTCTTTACAGTGAATGATATCCAATCCAAACAAACCAGAATTAATTGAAAGCGAATTTATTCGGCTTTCATATGATGTACAAAACTCTTTCTCCAAATATTGACACCTGAGGCTTGTTCTTGTGATTCATGGTCCCGTTTCTTATACAATGTATTGTTTCATACAACTAAACTGTCAATAAATGGCACTTTGTTAACTTCAAAATTGTCTAAGCAGAGATCAAGGTCCAATGATGCAATTCATAAATGCAAAACATCAATAAATCACAAGATAGAGGCAATTGTTGATTTTCAGAAAGTGTTTCACGGTGTAAATGTACTTTTCACACTTGTAATTTAGATGTGGGTTCGCACTGCATTTTACCTTAGGGTCATGAACACTGCTGTGGAGTGGCTTAACAGCTTTTACCTTGTGCAGTGTAAAACAACACTGTTTAAAAAAATCGAGATGCTTAGCAAGTTAGCAACTGACAGCCAATTATGTTCCTAATATTTAAAGGGCCTAGACAGTGACTGAAACAATGATTACATTTAAATGGACATCAGTAATCGAATTATTTGCCTAAAATAATAATAAGCTAAAGGTGTTTACACGAGTTGCTTTTTGAATGTTTCTTTCATGATCCCATTTTACATGTTAGCACATAATTTGATTAACGTCATTGCGTCACCACACTATCCGCATTTCCTCTGGAGTTTCATGTAGTTTCGGGTGTTTAATTTTTAGTTTGTTGACTTCAACTGCAGTTTGGCGCTTTCACTTTTACTCGGTAACATTTCATGTATGCCCCCCAATAGCGTTCCACCATGCTCACTCTTGATTACCTCTGATACTGTACTATTTAGCGTTTTGTTGATAGCGACATATACTGGAGCCGAGGAGGAGGTTGTTTGGCACAACTTGCATCAATACTTCAGGTTGGACTATCAAAACACTATCGTGAAAGAAATTATCCTGATAGTTGGATAAATCGATTTGTTTGCACAGCCCTAGTCACATTAAAATCGAATTGTTGGTGTCCATGTAAACCTATGTGAATTTGGTGAACCAATGGAGTGACCAATTGATTCTTACTTTTACAGTAAAATTCATTCATAGAAACACTTGCTAGTATAGCTTTAAATAGAATATGAGTATGTGCAATTCTTTATGTTAACATGTCACATGCTGTGTTCACACAATCAGTTACATTAATAAAAGTAAGTAAAAAGGATGTTTAAAGCAAAGATATTTTAGGAAAGTGATTCATGTGTAAGAGGATGACTATGCAGGATTAAGTATCATCATGGATAAAGTACGAGCAGTGGCGCAAAAAGGGGGTATGCAGTATATGCGGCGCATAAGGGCGCCAGACATGGGGGGCGCCATTGTGCCAAAACTATTTTTGAAACTATCCATATTAAAAGTTTCAAATAATATATATTTATTTTTTTGTTAAAAATGTTTATTTAGCATTTTATACGCATATAATATTGTATTTTATTAAATTAAAAAATCATTCCACCCATCTCCCCCATTTTTCATACCATATACATGTTTTTATGAATTAATGTATCATATTGATTCATCAGGCCTTTTGGTAACTTCTTAGTTCAAAACTAATTTAATTTTAGCTACAAACAAAGTTATAACCTTTCAATTAAATAGAACATTTCACACAGTTTGTTTCTGTTTTTTTTTTTTTTTACACTAAATATTTGACAGTCTTTTTTATTTCACTTTTAGCAGTTTCAGTCAATTGTTCTTGCAAATACAGACCTTACACTTCTCACAGTATGCATGTGAGAAGTAATTGCAATGTTTTTTTGCCCTTTAGGACTCCCATGTCTATCATTTTGTTTTGACAAATGTAGTACAAAAAGTCCAAAAGCAAGGCTAGTCAAGGTGCTATAATCATTTAGTAAGGGAAAATTAAATTGAGAAGAAATTTGGGGTGGTATGAGATGCATTTCTTTGCGACTTAACATGCTTAATGTAATTATACCTTTTACTACTTCATACTATTATTATAGTTGTGCTCAGAACTGCGAAACTGTATTTTTTGAAGCATATTGCTATCTTTAGGAAAATATATCTTTAATTTATTGATGGAAATATTTTCCACATTTCATCACTTGCCTGTTTTAAAATATAGTTGGATTGAAGGGGGGCACGCAAAAGTTCAGTAAGTAAGCCGCATACCCATCAGTAAATGTGCAGTTGCGCACCTGCGTACGAGTAGTATAAATCATGGAAAAAAGAACTGAATATTGTTTATCAAGAGTTTAATATGACCCAAGGTTAACTGTGTTAAGTGTGAAAAGTCCCATAGTTAACCCCGTGTCAATGATAATCGGTGTTTCCATGTTTCATGCTTCACACTGCGTAAAATAAACACTGGGTTAGAATTAATTTCTGGGTATTCATAAAGTGCCATGCAATCCACTTGATTTAGATTTTTTTTTTACTGATTGGACAAACGCAGCATTGCACGTCCATATACTGTATTATCACACATTTTACCCAAATGAATTTTTACCCACAGTTTACCCAAATGAAACTGTCTCCAAATGTCACATATTCTATAGCTATTCTAAATTTTTTAATCAGATAATCTGGATCATTCTGTTTTTCAAATTGCAGTGATTTCATTATTGTACAAACATGTAAATAAGGCTTGTGATAAGCTGTCTGCTGCTTGTTCTGTATTTTCATTAAATAAATAAACAAACAATGGTTTGGTAACAAAATCTTACCCCCCCAAACTTTTGAAATATATCTACATACATTTAACAAGCATAGCATTTGTGTCCTGCATATCACATAACAAAAATAAGAGAAACAAAAGTTGATATGCGACCTGTAATAGGACTGATATCAATACAATTCAGACAGCTTGCCTTTATTCATATCACTAAATTATGAAATATTCAAATTATAATAAAATAATTTAAATAAAGTATATTCTATTTAGATATAAACAAGTTCTCCTCAAACAGTCCAAAATGAGTATTTTAGATCTTTCAAAGTCTTTCCATACAGTTATGGATTTAAATAGCGCTTCTAAGCTTCAAAGGCAGTGTTGATTATCCCTTCATCCACACTCTCTTTAATTACACCAAAACAGCCTTCATTCCTTTGACTTTTGTCAAAATGTCCATTTTCTTCACTCAAAGGCATCTTGGTTTTAGGATACCTGTAGCACATTAACAGTAGTCCACTTACAATGAGTAGACAACCTGCACCGATCCCAATTCCGATCCCAGGACCCACTTCCTGTTTTACAGGAGTGGAAGGCAAGTAAAATTCAGGAGGAAAATCTATAGTGAGATTGGCCAGAACCGAACTCATATTCCAAAAGACAGGGACCAGCGAACACGTGGCAGTCAACCAATACAAGCTACCCGCCATCACAAACGCCAACCTGACATGGCCACCGTCTACCCCGAAGATGGCGTTTCTCACTGCATATCCAGCCAGCAGGTTCGCAACAACCCCTACGCCAATAGCGATCATGCAAAGCACCTGAGCAGCTGCAATCTCTGGAGGAGTGAAGGAATCTGTAAGGCCGATGCTTTTGCAGATCTCCGCAGAGTCCAAAACGTGGCTGTTGAAACAGGCCCTCCAAACGCCCACCCAGGCCACTCCACCGGTGATGACCGTCGTATTGTCTACGTACCAAATCCTCCAGTCGTTCACGCCAGAAACAGAGGCCGTCATTATCCATGCTACAAACCCCAACACCAGACCTGCAAACTGCCGGTGGACAGATTGCGCCAGGTAAGCCATTTCTGAAACACAAATCTCCTCAGGATTGGCAGCTGTCCTTTGGGGTCATGGCTGCAGTTCAGTCACACCAATTCTGTCAGATAAAACACAGTAAAAAAACTATAGTTTTAGTAAATTTCCCGTGTTGGGTGTAGTTAGTTACAAAGTAACTAGTTACTGTAATTAGATTATTTTACACTGAAAAAAGAAAATTACAGTTAATTTTTAGGTCATTTTTTGCAGTTATATATAATTTACTTGAATTAAACAAGGCAAATAAATGAATAATAAACAGTTCAGTGTGAATCAATTCATAAAAGCAGAGTAATTGTATTTTCACTATACAACTATATTATTAAATTGTATTTTTACTATACAAATTAAGATTTTAGATGTAGAAGCCTCATCAAATGTGCCATCTGAAATTTTCTTCCAAATCTAGCATTTTCCTCAGCCTGTGTGTTTCTTCTCAATGATCTTACTTTAAAAGCAATCACAATAACATATTCTAAACCTACATCAAATTTACATTTCTAAACCTTCATTAGGTCTAAAGTAAAAAAATCTATTTAGAAGAAAATTTCAGACAGCTTTTATTCTGAACTGTCAAAATATATATTTTGCAGAATAATTAGGCCTACATTTATTAACTAAAGATGGATACATTTGTATGACAATTACGCATGCTTGAGAAATAAAGAACTGAGTATGAAATTCATCAATGTCAATATAGGGTGTGTATGAAATCCATCTGCATTGCTTTAAAACTTCAAAATGTTTAACTTGACTTTTTAACCAAATAATTCAAGAGTTTACACCCCTTGCACACCGGGACGCTTTTTGCTCGTGTTTTCAGTCAACGTTTAGCGCCTCGTGACTAAATAAAGGTCGTCAATGTGATCGTGCACACCAACACGCAAAGCGCCAGGCGCAAAAGCGTCATTAAAAAAAAAACGCCTCATGCTTATTTTTTTGTTTTGACGTACGACGTTAAAACCTTTTCCACCAATCAGATTGGCACTTTAGTTCACGAGCACAGAGCTGCTGAAGTTACAGTAAAGAGCACTTGGAGGCGCTCAAGCGCAAAACTGTCAATGCGAGCGCACATTAAAGAAGATGCCCAGAGGCGGCTATATAAACGTGAAGCTGCTTATTGCACTGGTGAACAATAATCATTTCTTCATTGCTAGAGCTGGAGCTGCTACTTGAACAATCAATAACAACAAGTATGTCAACTTTGTCTTCTTCTTTTGTTAAAAGTGGGTGTGAGAAGCTTAAAGTTGTGTACCACCATCTAACATCAAGGAGTGATTTTGCAAACTCTTCTGCTTGACGCCAGTGAAATCGATTAGGTTTGAATCCGGAAAAACGTCTTGAAAAGTGCTGACAGTAAACGCAAACGAAAAGCGTCCTGCTGTGTACGAGCCTTTAGATATTGCTTGATATTAATAGCAGGTTTAACATGCTGTCCTGGGAGAAAACCCTAACTTTGGAGATAATTGAGAGCAGGGCTCCCGTCTGGTCCATGAGCATTTAAGGGGTAACGAGATCAGGTAGTTCTTCAGAGCTCCCCATTGCAAAAGAGGAAAAGGGGGAGATGGGGTGGATGGGGGGATTCTTCCTTCATTTATATATTAATTTTCTTTTCGGCTTAGTCCCTTTATTAATTTAGGGTCACCACAGAAGAATGAACTGCCAACTTATCCAGCATATTTTTTACACAGCGGATGCCCTTCCAGCTGCAACTTATCACTGGAAAACATTCATACACTCTTATTAACACACACACACTCTCATACACTACGAATTTGAGAATTTTAGCATACTCAATTCACCTGTACCACATGTTTTTGGACTGTGGGGGAAACCAGACCACCCAGAGGAAACCCATACAAACAAAGGGAGAACATGCAAACTCCACACAGAAATGCCAATTGACCCAGCCGAGGCTCGAACCAGCAACCTTCTTGCTGTAAGGCGACAGCACTCGCGCCACCTCGCTGCCCGTGGGGATTTTTTTTTTCTTTGAAAAAAATGGAGATGTAAGGTGAGATGGGTTATTTATTTTGAGTTTGGAATAATCCGATTGGTTTACAAATGATTGCAGGAGAAAGACCAGCCGCAATCAATTATATCATGTGCTTCTCTCTAATATAGTTTGTGAAACTTTACTTATGTTAAGGTGGCTCAGTGGTTAGTACTGTTGCCTCACAGCAAGCCAAGGGAAAATAAATAAATAAATCTTTTAAACTTAATTGATCAGGCGATGTGATTTATATGAAGTTTTGGCATTATGGAGTCCAGTTAAATTCCCTATTGAGTAATTTAATTATTTTCAGACCTGTTGATCAAACAATGTTAATGATGTAGTTAATAATTAATTACTTTTTTATCAGCTTATCTAACAATGAGTCATTTTGTCAGTTGCATCAAATGACATTACAGACATTTCAATTAAATGCTCCTTCTGACATTCTGTTTATTAAAGAATACTGAACTAGTACTAGTACAGCATTTTTGTATTATATGTATATATATATATATATATATATATATATATATATATATATATATATATATATATATATATATATATATATTTATTTATTCATTCATTTTCTTGTCGGCTTAGTCCCTTTATTAATCCAGGCATGCCACAGTGGAATGAACCGCCAACTTATCCAGCAAGTTTCCCATCTTTGGGAAACATCCACAAACACACTCATACACTACGGACAATTTAGCCTACCCAATTCATCTGTACCGCATGTCTTTAGACTGTGGGGGATCACCCGGAGGAAACAACGCGAAGGAAGGGAGAACATGCAAACTCTACACAGAAACGGCAACTGAGCTGAGGTTCAAACCAGTGACCCAGCGACCTTCTTGCTGTGAGGCGACAGCACTACCTACTGCACCACTGCCTCCCATATAAATTATAGATAGATTTTAACAAACTTTCATTTTGGTATCTTTAAAACCAGATTGAGCACTATCCATTCAGTTTTTTCTTTTAAAGTGCTAAAGAACTAATATTGTTAAAACTAGAAATGCATCTCCTTTTTTAAAACTACTCCATATAATGTTTACTCCATATAATAATTGTACAAATCCAAGTATTAAAAAATATTTCAAATGTTCAAAAATATTGAATATTTATTTAGTAAAACAAGCATTGGGGCAGCACGATGGCGCAGTGGGTAGCACAATCATCTCACAGCAATGTCGCTGGTCTGAACCCTGGTTGGGTCAGTTGGCATTTCTGTATGGAGTGTGCAAGTTCTCCCCGTGTTTGTGTGGGTTTCCTCCGTGTGCTCCGTTTTCCCCCACAAGTCCAGAGACATGCGGTACAGGTGAATTGGGTAAGCTAAAATTGTCCGTGGTTAATGAATGTGAATGAGAGTGCATGGGTGTTTCCCAGTGATGGGTTGCAGCTGGAAGGGCATCCGCTGCACACTCTCAGAAATAAAGGTACGCGAGCTGTCACTGGGGTGGTACCTTTTCAAAAGCTATTAATTTGTACCTGACAGGTCCATATTAATACCTCAAGGGTACATAATAGTACCTAAAAAGTACAAAAGTGTTCCTTTTAAAATTTTTAGGTACTAATATATACACTAATATATACTTTTAAGGTACGAGTATGAACCCTTTAAGTATAAATGAGTACTTTTTGAAAAGGTACCACCCCAGTGACAACTCCTGTACCTTTATTTCTGAGAGTGTTTATTTTTGTCTTTTTCAGAGATAAATAAACAATATAATAAAAAAGAAAATGATGTTAAGCTGTTGGAAATACCATTAAAAATAACTGTTAAGCTTTTTACTGTATTTTCCTATAAATGCCCAACACTGCATTCAATGGGCCTTTGTACCTTCCACTAAATGACAGTGGAGAGAACACAGGAAAAAACAGCGGAGAATGCCCTGGGAATGGGACTGGCACATGACGCAAACTGGATTGAAAATCAGCATCCCGCTGTGCCACAACCCTGACAGTAACAGCCATCTTGAAGACAATTCACAAAAAGTAAATGTCTGAATAAAAACAAAGTGCTTCCTTTGGACACAATAGGGCATGGTCAAGCAACTAAATGGTTTTCACATATAGCACAAGTAGGGGGAAAAGAAAGAATGGAAAGAGGCGAAAAAAGATTCTGGTCTGAAGGTCAAGCAAAAGAGTGCACATTTAAGACCAAACAGAGGATAAAGAGAGAGAACAAGATAGAGAGAGAGAGAGAGAGCAATAGAGAGAGAGATTTCCTGCCTGGTTTGCACACATGGGGTTCTGGAATGTTCCAGGATAAGCCGAAAGGTAATTTACAAAAATCAGTTTCTTTACGCACAGGAATTGAGGTGGGAAGAAATGAATACAGCTTTGGGGAATTGATTTCCTTAACATTTTTCCAACACCCAGTGGCTCATCCATGCTATATGCCTAACTTTTTTCATGCACACAACTGTAAGTGTTGAGAATGTGGTATTTTTTTGATAGTGAAAACATCCAGAATACAGTTTTAGGCATTTTTAATAGAAATGTATCATTTTGTTTTGTCTGGATTTCAGTTGTGATACATATTCCTAAAAGCTGAAATAATTTGTTATTAACTTCTTAATTATTTTGTATTTAGCTAATTATTGTTCTTTTCTCATTAAAAAATCTCAAATTCAACAGCGCTTACACTAAACCTTTACTCATATCAACATTGCAGTTTTATTAATATCAACATAGGCTACTCAAGGTTTTTACAGCAATATGTTAATGGGTCATTATCACTATAAAGTGCCTTTGAGACATCAACATTTTCAAAACAAAAAATAAAAGTTTTTTTTTTATTTGTTTAACCACATAGTTGTATTAATTAGACCTTGGGCTGTAAGAAATTAATGCTATAAGCTCCTGCACTTTATCTGCAAGCAGTAAAACAGTAAAAAAAAAAAAAAGCTCAAATAGTGTCAACCCTGTCATGGACAAATTCAAAGTAGCATAAGTATATTTTCATTGCAGTGTGATTATAAAATGTATATTTTCAGAAAGGGAATGTCACTTTACCATCACAACTTTTTAGATTATGGAAAAAGTCAATTTATAATAATGAAATAATGGGCAAAACATTTATTTCCCAATAAAATATGCAATCGTTGCACATTCTTTTCAAAATAAAACCCAAAATATAAAATATTCTGTCAAACTTTCAAACAATGGTAACTGGTCCTCATTGGTTTATTAAGAAACCACACAAGATGTTTGCTGAGATTATAAATAAGTTGTTTATTTTCATAAAAAACAAGATGACATAGTGGACACTGCCATGGCAGGGTGGCCAAAGGCCTTATTAATGAACTAAATATAGAGGAACATTTGAAAAACAGCAGGCACAAAAAGAAAATTTAAAGGCTTACTATAAAAGAGTTGTAAAGGTTTACCAGAATTCAACTTCTGTTTTCACTAATTACTGCAAACCAGAGCCACCATGTCGCATCTTCTGATATCAATATGCAAATTAAAGGGGAAAAAAGCAGTTGTTGTCCTTTAAATTTAAATAAATTTGCTAATGAATGTAAATCTTTACATTGTACTGGAGGAGTGAAGGGAATGTTGGAGAAAACTCAAGTTAAATGCCTTAATAACACTCTTTTAGAAAAAGGTAAATAATTAAATACAGATATTCACATAAATGTACAAATACTTAGGGCTACATTTTTTATTACAAACAGTCAATGAGCTCCATTATATGGAATTTAAAAAGATATCCTTTATATAGACTGAGTAAGATATTGCCAAAAGGTTCGGATTGTCCATTCATGTATTGCATCTACTACTGTAGTAAGTGTATGTATAAGTGTTTTAACATAAAACATTAACTAATTAACAACAAAATATTAAATAAATAAATAAAGTGTCAATATGCATATGTCCACCCTGTCAGGATTTGTGACAGTGTGGACAATGACAGGGAGGACATTTTTGGCTAAAGATAGCATTTATTCAACACATGTTTTACCTGCAGCTGGCAAAGTGTTTTTCTATTTGAGCTTTTTTGTACTCCGTGTAAAAGCTATATTTTTGACTTCTGAATTGATTTTATATTAATTAATATTTCACTATGACAGGGTTGACATGTTAAGCTCTATAGACATTCAGTTTCGAACACAATTTGATGAAAAAAAAAAGAATCGGTATAGATAGTTACTATGTGCACATTAGATGTTTTAGCCTCCTCTGAAGAAAGTTAAAACGGATGGGGATGCCAACGAGTACATCAGAGGGTTTTTTAAAGCCATTTACCACATCATGACAGGGTGGACAGCAATCTCAAGGACACGTGCAAAATAATTAATAATATTATGAAAACAAAATAAAAGTTATTAAAATTATTTTTTTGCCAACTAACTTTTTAAAGACAATATAAAAATCTTTTTCATTTCATCTAATACACAATTTGCTTATCATATAGCATTTTATTCTACAGTTGTTTGGGGGAAATGTATTTTTCTAGCTATTTGCAGTACGTTTTAACATTTGCAGGGATAGAAATTGATTTCCAAAATCCCCTCTGTAAAAACAGAGTAAAACAAGGATTTGTTTTAACCTGCCTTTGCTCAATGTTTAGAATTTTGTGACATGCGACAATGAATTCGCAAATATTTCATCAAATAGCACTATTTGCATATTAACATTTAAGAAAACTAACAAAGAAATATGATTCTATGGGTTTTCATCCTATTTACCTGTTTTTACCTTAATATAGGCTATTATACAGCAAAAATGTACAAACGTACATGTATGTTGCTAATGTAATGTCTAATCTGTACATAATTCTTCTATTGATACGACTCGTTCGGTGTTTCCAGGCGGCTCTAAGGCTCGTTAGAAGTGTAACCTCTGTCAGTGTTGTGTAAAACTGATGTTTCGTAAAGTCAAAGTGTACACAAATATCATATATCACACAATAACAAACACACCCTTACCTGTGAAGCATGTTTGATGTATGAAGCATCTTTGAAATTGTCACAGTTTATCCAAAACACAGAACCCTTCACCTTCAGCGTTCATATGACACAAGCGGAAAAGACATTTACAGTACAAGTCAAACATAGCTGGGGTTAATGATTAATGTAGCAAATCCAATAAATGGATAAGAGAAGGCGTCGACGAACGTCTGTGCAAAACAATGACTACCAATGTTTTTTTCATTGACTTTCCGTAGGCCCATTGCTGTTATTATAAACTTCAAACGTCTCTTTAAGATATCATGAATGGTTTGTTGCGGTCTATACGGTCAGTTCAGCTTGACGTACGGTAAATGTTTGAGGTAAAAATAGTCGAGAACTTACCTTTGTGTAAGTACAATATGCATAAGCTAATTGCCTCGTTTTATCTGTAAAAACATATACTTGCTAAAAGCACCCTTACACTCAGCAACCTTTGTCATAATGTCAGATTTGGAGAGACAAGCGTTAAAGGGAAAGTTAATACTGTCATAATTTTCAAATCACTTTACACAGAACTATTTGATTTTCTTTCTTCTGTTCACACAAAGGAAGACATACTGGAGAATGAAGGGGACAAACTTCCATATTAAAGTAAAATTAATAATAGGTTATAATTTTTGTATAAATAGTATAAACATATTTTTTTTAAAAAACTAAAAGCTTTTTAAATTTTAGAATGGTGTCATCACAAAAGGATGAAAACATATGGCGTCTGAGGAGTGAAAATTAAAAAAAAAAAAGTTTTCTTTTAAAAAAAGTTAGTTTTTTTGTTACAGTTCTGCTTTTTAGATTTTATAATAACATGTTTGAGTAGAGATGACTATTTATTATACATTGTTCCATCAGAAATATGCACGGATATGACAGTATTATGTAAGATGTGCTTTTGTTTTGTTCTGCCCACAGTTGCATGATTTCATAGATATGTCAAAGTCTCTTTCCTGATTGGCTAAGACTATAACACTATATCTGAAGTTAAATATTACTTAAGACGCAGATAATGAGAGTCATTGCCAGCAACTGCTTCATGAAAAAAGAAAAAAGTAATGAAAAAAAATTCTGCTTTACTGAAACACTCTTCCTACTGTTTGATCTGATACTGAAAATATAAACTAGTAAATTAAAAGTTACATACATTTTAGATGAAACTGTTTAATAATCTGATAAAAAATAATGAAAGAATATTGCATGTTTAAAAGTACTTATATATTTACATGGGATTCAGTGGCAGTCATACAATTGACTAATACCATTTATTAAATGCCATTTGAAAATACCATTCAATTTATCTCTAAACCTCCACAAGTGAGACAGACATTTCCGTTTGGTATAATAAAAGAGTCTTGGGTGACAGATACACCTGGTATTTCTACTATGGTATCCGAAACCAAGAACGTTTGTGCTATACTGCTTCCAGACCAGTGAGTGTCAGTATAAAGCAACATTCCTCTGTATGACAAGACAACATTTTTTGCTTTAAAAGCTCTTAAAAACGTCCCTTTTAAAGCAGCAATTATATGTAAATGGAATTCGACTCACAGTTTGTTTAAAAAAATAAAAATAAAAAAAAGAATAATACTTATTCTTTTAACCACCCCACCAAGAAAAAAAAAAATGTTTGAATTGCATTTCTTAACTCCTAATGTCGCTAGTTGACACCCTCAAGTCATTATTTAAAAATGCTAAAGACATGGTCAACCGTTTGGTAGAGTTTCAGTCAAAGGGTTAAATAGCCATCAATATAACACATAAAGGTTTAGCTTTCAGAATTATAGATTGAACATCTATGACAGTCAAAATCCTATTTATACATTTTGACTAAGAAACTGTATTTTGGTGTGGAGCATTGTTGCTTTTAGATAATCTTTTGTGTTAGCTCATTAAAAAAGGAATTTCGGTAATAAATTACCTTCATTCATCTTCAGAGCACGAATTAAAACATTTTAGAAATAAATCTGAAAACTCTCTTATCCTCCAGCTTCAATGCTAAGTCTTTAATTTCTAGGCCGGTATGCCTATGAACTATACTCTCATTCTTGTGTAACAGGCAAGTAACTTTGCTGCTGTAACATGGCTGCAGTACGCACAATGACATTACATAGTGCTGTTAACATAGTTAGCTGAGGACTATTTTCAGGTGCTGTCATTATTTATATATTATATTATATTATATAAATCATTATTTATATAAATTTGATAGATATTTATATTACTATCAATTAATGTTCAATCGGTCTTAGCTCATAAAGCAATTACAGAAAAGTCAAGCTTTTCAAGTCCCCATGACCTGGAAGCCGCGACCATTTTCTTTATTTTATTTTTTTTCCATATTGTGACGCAGTTCCCAGAGAGAAACGGTATATTAAATTAGAAAACAGTGGGTGTGGCTTGTTTTTTCTACTGCGAGCTGAATAGATGTAGTAAAGTAGGCATTTTATTCAGAAAGATGGGGAAAAGGGTTTAGGGAGAGTTATTACAACCTAACAGACTCCTCCTCCTGCTCACCATTTCAGTTTGTTGTCAAAACTGACAGTTGGAGCAGCATGATTAAATATGTTAGCTACGCCCATTTGCTAAGACAATAAGCAAATCTGACAATTTAACTAAAAGAAAAGTGCATTTACACATAAAAAAAAAAGATTAGAAGGGCAAACAATCTTTTTTTCTAATGACGTGCACAAATGAATTGTTTACCACAAAACTAGAAATGTGAGCTAACAAAATCATACAGCTAGTTTTGATTTCTTGGGGACTTTAAATAGGAAAATTATAATTTTTATTAATTTTTTAAAAAATATTTCATAAGATGCTAATGCTCTAATCAGGTTTATTGATGTCTGCTAAGCTAAGCTAAAAGTTCTTATGACTTTTAGACCGAGATATTAGCTTAACGCATTCAAAAATGATAAAACTCAACTGTTTAACTCTTGCGGACTTGCAAAAATAGCCTAAAAACTTTATTAACTAAAATTAGCATATTTCAGTGTTCTTTAAGAGAATCTGGACTGTAGCACAGATTAATTAATTTGAGTTTGATGGGAAACAAATTAGAGCAAAAATGAACAAAATATGGAGGTTATGAAGGTTTTTGTTTTTTTTGCTGTTGTTGTCGTCCTTAATTGGCTATTTAGTAAAATGCTATTCTACTTGCCTGGTATCATCACACATAAACTTCCTTTACATTTAAAGCAATGAAAATGTATTAAATCTAATAAAATTAGATTCATTTAATAACTGAATAAAATAATAGCAATAATAATAAATTTTTTCAAATAGTTCATGAGCTGTGTTTAAATGTACATATTATAGACTAGAATATGATGCTTTTTCCTGAGTAATAACTTTAGATCTGTAATCACTTTGAATCTGACATCAAGAAAAATCAAACCACAGTATAGATGGAACCGTTAAATAATACAGACACACAGCTTGAAGCAAAAGGCAGCGGGTATTTTATAGACAAGCACTGGAATAAAATTATATAGTTTAGGCAAGTCTCTGATATTCTTCAAACAACAGAATACTTAGTCAGCTCTAACTCTGAAGTTACAATGCATTTTAAGGTGATATACACATCTATAAAAAGCGTGCAGACTAAAGTGGTAGTTCGCCTGGCTAAAAATAAAGTGAAAGAGTACAATCTTAGCCTGCACTAGTTATATACAAAGATTCAAAAGGCTAAAATAAATTACTAAAAAATATCAATGAATTATTTTTTTAACAGGACCAGGATGGTGACACAAGTCATTTGAAATAATGCACCACCAAAATCTCATTTTCAGAAGTTAATTACAACCTCCTGGTGTAAATAGCAACACAACTTGCATGTGCAAAGCTTGGATGGAAAATGAACGGAACTGAGATTTGAAGATTTTCTATTGGGATTCAGGTCTTTCACTGCCCTCTAGTGGTTTAAAACAAGAATAAGAGTTCACGTGGATCCAAAAAACGTCAAGGAATTGAATGAAAGGTGTTTAAAAATGATGATGATGATTATTATGATTTCGCCATATAATTTTATGGGTCGTGTAACATTAAAGGTTTACGAACGCATTAAAATCACTATAGAGGATAACAACGACTTTCTATAAAATCAGGTTTGGTCAAATCATGATGTGAACATCTGAACATGCCCAGCACTTTCAGGATCTTCACAAGTCTTGCCAAAATGTCTGAGGCAGTAAAGGAGTACTCAATATATGACCTGAATGCAATTCCGCTGGCAGTAAGTGGACCACATTATTAAGTACTGCTTTGGAATCCTAGGCTGACGTCAAGAGAGACTGGCTCTAGATCAGTGTTTATTAATCAGTCAGTTGATTATTCTCTGGTCCATTGGGAGACTGTCCATCAGACACTTGAGCTGCTCATCTCCCAGTTTGATCTTGTCCTCCAGCTTGCGTTGCTCGATAATAAGAGCGGATTTCATCTTGACAAAGTGCTCGTAGTCAGCCATACTCTCCTCAGGCAGGTAACTGGCCAGAATGTCGTAGACCACACGCTCTCTCCTGTCCAGGTTCTCCTTCAGCTCCTTAGCATCCTCGTGCTGACGAATCAGCAGTTTGCGTTTCTCTGTCAGAGTGCGCTGTGGAGAGGGCATGAATATTTCCATGTTAAAGTCTGCATCAAATGGAAGTTGCTGAGACTTTTATTTCAGTATGTTGATTTACTTTCAACTTAAACAGAATATTGAGTAGGGGGCGAGGCTTTCTTTTTGCCTGCTTCTCCAATTGTGGAAGAAAATGGTCAGACTTTGATTGAAGATGACCAAAGCAAACTTTTTTTTTAGTGGATTAACTTTTAACCCTAAATTCACAGATTAATTGTTTATTGTTCTAACTTATTTCAAAAGGACTTAATAGAATAATTCAGTCAAAATCATCCAAAGCAAAGTTTCTTTTAATAGCTTTTGTATATATATTTTCCAAATGTAACAATATATATATATATATATATATATATATATATATATATATATATATATATATATATATAGTATAGTGTGTGTGTGTGTGTGTGTGTGTGTGTGTAACAAGAGCCATTTGATGACATAAAAAAATATTTGTCCCAAATTATTATTTAATCATGACTTTACCACCATGCATAACAACTAGTCTGTCAGCTAGATTTTTTAAATAATTTGAAATATACAATAATTTAAATATTTTGTTGAGTACTGGTGAAAATACATATTTTGTTTTATTTTTGCATAAATACATCTGTTATGCTGAATTGAGATGGGACATCAATTTAATGTTTTCACTTTTCCCCTCATAACAGGTATTTGAAATAATAAGGTTGACACTTTCTTTGCATTTAAAATGCTTACTAAGAATATAAAATGATTTTAGTAAATTTGACCAAAATTTTACCTTTAGTCTTTGACCATTGTGTGTTTCTGTCTAGGGCTGCACGATTCTGGCTTAAATAAGAATCACTATTTGTTTGCTTAAAATCAAGATAATGATTTTCTCACTATTCTGTAATTATAAATTAAGGGTTAATAAAAGTAGGCAATTATTATTGTTATTAAACATATGGTAAAACAACAATAATAATATAAGGCCTATGTGTAGGTCCGTTGGTTAAAATGCTCAATTTTGTATAGGCTTAGAATGGTGAACCTGAACAGACTTTAAATTTGTCAGGTTTGTTAATTCATAGTAAAGTGATGACAGCAGAATACAACTCTTCAAAATTCTGAAGTTGAAATGTTTAAGACATATGCTTGTCATTTGTCATTGACAACATTATTATACCATTTTTACACTGGTAAATGAAACATTCTGTTATGCACAGCCTATGCAGGTTCTGTTCACTACAGTAGACATCACTTTTGAGCACGCGCGCATCCTTTTTGTAGTAAACAAACATCAGCAGCCGCAAATACAACATCAGATTATGACAGAAATTACGTTTTGGGGTGAATTGTATCATATAAATAAAGTATGTGACCCTTTTAACACTATTTGGAGGTGTCCATATTGCTGAGCAACTTATATAAAACAATCTGAAGACTTGTGTGACTACCTTTATGCTTCTCTCCTGACTTTAAGAATTTAATTGGCTGAATCGAAGAAAAGCTGAATTAAGATCGTTTGTAGGGCCGAATCGAGAATATAATACTTTTTCGATTATTTGTGAAGCCCATTTTCTATCTGATAAAAGCTGTGTGAAAATAAATGCACTTTAATATTCTAGAGTCCATTTAAAATTTAGTTAAAAAATTGTTACCAAAAGAGGTTGTTCTCACACAACATGGTAGATTTATTAAATTACTACACATTAGTGTAGTTTTGAAAAACGTCATAAAATTCAGTATGCCTCCTAAAGCTTTCCCACATCCTCACCCTTTCCTCCAGCGAAGCATCTTCCTCCAGGCTGTTCAGGGCATTCTCTACCCTGGCCAAACGTCCTGACAGAGACAGCAGAAGGTTGACCACTTTATCAAGATCCCCGACGAACATGCGGAATTTGTCGAGTTCATTAGGCTTGCAGACGCCCTGTACGATGGCCTCCACTTCTTCTCCAAGAGCGTTGTTGTCCTGCACGTCCTCCTGCAGGCTCTCCTGAGCTTCTTTTAAGACCTGCAACTTCTTACTGAGACTTTCAATCAACTCGTGCTGCAAAGACAGAGAATGCCATTAGATTCAGTCAACTGGTAGGTAGGAAACCATCCGACTGTACAACGCAAAGTGTTTGTACCTTCTTGCAGGCGAGGTCACTTTCATTGTCCTCCTCCAGCTCCTCTTCTGAGTTGTGTTCAACGCTCTGGTCCTGCATGTCCTTCATCTTGATCAGCAGCTCTGCTTTGGGTGCAGATGTGCTGTAGTAGGTTGAGTTGCTCACTAAAGCAGCGGCCGCCACCAGGCTGTCTTCCTCTTTCCTGAAAATCCATAAGTGATTGTTGTAAGAAAAACAAGCAAAAAAGCAAAGTAAATATATATTAAATGCAAAATGATTACACAGTTTTGCTTTGTTTTAAGGATATGGGACTAATTGTGTGACCGATCGGAGACATACAGGGGAGTTTAATAATAATAAAAATATTTTTCAATAAACAACAGGCAAAAAACACTCCAGTTCCAGAAATAAAAACTCAATACTCACTTTCTCCACAGGAAAAAAAAAAAAAAATATATATATATATATATATAAATATATATATATATATATATAAAACTTCAATGTAACATTTGAGCGCTACTGAGCACGTTCTGAAACAACGCTGAACACTTTTTCAAACGCTCAACAGAAATGACCGTGAAGGTCATCGGTTCACTAAACTCACCAATGTTTACCCAGTATAACCACAGATACAAGGACACTGGAGCGTTTTAAAGTCACGTCGATCAGCTGGTTTGTCTATAAGCTGACATATGCTGATGAATCGTGGCTTTAAAGCGCTCCAGTGTCCCTGGGTCTGTGGTTACCCTCAGTAAACAGTGGAGAGTTCAGTGATCTGATGACCTTCACAGCCAATCACAGTCATTTCTGTTGAGCACGTGAACACAACGGCAAATCCGCGCTGTTTAAGAAGGTGCTCAATAGACCTCAAATGTTAGTGGGAAATGAATGCTTTTATAGTTTCAGTATTGTCTGGTACTGAATTCCAGTATCGTGAAACCATAATATATATATATATATATATATATATATATATATATATATATATATATATATATATATACATATTAGGGATGTGACAATATTGTAAATACCGTCATACCGCAATAGTATTTTTTTTCAATATTACCGTAGGCGCATGACTCAATAAAACTATATTTCTGAGAAAAGTTTGCTTAGGTGAATGAAGCAAACGGGAGGTAATAATAATTAATAATAATTCGTTAAATTTATTATTTCTTGGCACTCAAAGCGCTTTACACAATGGGGGGGGATCTCCTCATCCACCACCAGTGTGCAGCATCCACCTGGATGACGCGACGGCAGCCATTTTGCGCCAGACCGCACACCACACACCAGCTGATTGGTGGAGAGGAGACAGAGTGATGATATGCCAATCATGATATGGGGAGGGTTAGGAGGCCATGATGGACAGAGGCCAGTGGGCAGATTTGGCCAGGATGCCGGGTTTAAACCCCTGATCTTTTTCGAAGGACATCCTGGGATTTTTAACGACCACAGAGAGTCGGGACCTCGGTTTAACGTCTCATCCGAAAGACGGCGCTCTATACTGTCACTATACTGGGGCATTAGGACCCACACAGACCGCAGGTTGGGCGCCCCCTGCTGGCCTCACTAACACCACTTCCGGCAGCAACCTAGCTTTCCCAAATGGTCTCCCATCCAGGTACTGAACGGGCGCAGCCCTGCTTAGCTTCAGTGGGCGACCATGTGAGAGTTGCAGAGAGCTAGCTGCCGGCGAGAACTACAATTCCCATCAGCCTAGGTGTGGCCATCATCCTTTGCGGTCTGTTGTCACTACAGATCCAGTAATGCACAAATGGAGTGTGTTGCTAGTAGCGGGGAAGAAAAAGAGCTGGAAATGATCGAACCTAAAGCTGGTTTTAAATCGGATGTGTGGAAGCATTTTGGTTTCTTTCTAAAAAGATACGAAAAAGGAGAAAAGGTGACAGACAAAGAAAAAAAAAAACAATATGCAGGCACTGCCAGACTGTGGTGAAATATAAGTTGGCGAATACGACTAAAAACAGTCATGGGGACTGCAGAACACAGCACACTTGTTAGATTGATGCAGACATTGGCTTGTACCGCAAAGAGATCTCTATCTCACTCATGGCTTGTCCTCTCAAGTGGTGGAAAGACAATGCACAACGTTACCCACTGCTGTCAACCTTGGCTAAATCATATCTTTCTGTCCCAGAAACCTCAGTCCCAAATGAGAGGGTTTTTTTTTTCTGTTGCAGGGGACATGCCCAGCGATCCCAACTTTTGCCAGATTATAGTTATATGATAATTTTCCTTAAAAAACCCATCTCTATCTATGTGAGTGATTAAATGTTGAATGTGATGAGTTTTCAACAATACTAAATTGAAACTTTATTTTTTTATATGGTTTAATAGTTTTTTGTTATTAAAATTGAAAAATTGAAGTCCCTGTTTCGAAACTTACAGATAGATGGCTAATTTGTATGTCATTGATATGTTCAGTGCTAAGGTTAATAAACACTTTTGGCACTTTTTTCGAGTCTTTTCATTAGTTTTGTTTTTCCTGTAAATTATTCAATAAATACCGTACTGTGCCATTCATAACGAGGTATTACCGTACCTTCTGATACCGTTACATCCCTAATATATATATATATATATATATATATATATATATATATATATATATATATATATATATATATATATATATCGTATATCAAAATTAACGCGTTAACGCATGCGATTAATTTAAAATAAATAACGCGTTAAAAAAATTAACGCAATTTACACAGTTTTTTTTTTCCCTGTTGTGGCCAGGGGCAGACGCCGAGCAGTTTCCCACTGTTTCTACGTACTTTTTGGGCCGGGCTGATCATCTTCTTATGATCTGATCGGCCCATAAAAGACTTAGCAGACTGTCATGTTTTTCTGCCTCAGTGATTGACAGTGCTGCGAGCTGTCGCGCTCTGAAAGTAAGATGTTTCTTTTCCGGACAGAGCAGCCGTGTGACATAATCTGCAGCCCATTGGTTCTTTTCTTTATTGACATTGGGCTGACCCAATCACAAACTTCCATGTTGGGCTCTGTGTAACGTAGGTGTGTATTGGTCAAAATAGCCGAGAGTCACGCCTCTTTCTTACGCGCGGGTCCGCCCCACGGGAGAGCAGACTTTCGCGTCTGCACTCTGCAGCGGGGCACAGATCAATATACTCCTGTCTATTCTATCTAGTTACCTATCTGTCAATATAAATATACTTTTTTTTAACTTTTATTCTGCACCACGGACGCGGCAACTTCCTCCTGCTGTTTCCTAAACCTGCAAGTCTTTATTTTACAAATTATAAAGAATGTCTGCTTCTCAATTCTCAAAGTGTCAGTCATGTATTTTAAGATGCACTCGGTCAGAAGACAAGTGCATGAGATATCATGACATTGTGTTTTTGATCGTCAGCATGATGTAGGCTTATAAGTGACAATAATATTTATACAATATGGTTATTATAATGATATTTATACATGACCAAACTATTGTGCAACTTAAACAACTTTTTTTTACATTTAGTTTTGTAGTTCTGCCCAAACAAATATTTGTTGCATTTTGTTATTGTTTTAAGTTCATTTGATTGACAAAGTAAAATCTTTTAGCATCGTTTGATGTTTCATTGTTCAGTTAAAAAAAAATTTAGGGTCTCTTACACATTGCTTTTATTATTTATCTTTATTTTATTAATCAACATTAACTGTGTGCGTCAGCAGGCAGTTTTTGTTATGCTCATTATTTTCTTAGCTCCCTCAAAACACACAGGCAACCACATTTCCAGTGTGGATTATAATTTTATTTTAATAATAAATAATTTTTTTATTTATAAATTTTTTTTTTAATTTGTCAACTCTCGTTATTTCCTATATATGGCTTTTGTGATTTTATAGAATGGGAGTTGGTAAACCTATTCAAGAGCATGCACAGATTTTCAATGCTTTATTATTATTATTATTATTATAATTTTCCATATCTGCAATACTTGTATTTTGGCATTTGTTTGCAGTCCACTTAGAATCCAACATGGAAATCAATATTTTCTTTATTAGCATTGATTGTTTTGAAATTCAAATGGCTCTAACATGCCTGTGTTTTTATTTCTGTAATAATTATGGCTGTCAAGCCAGGATCTTGATGGTTTATTGTGGGTATGTTGTTTACATGAAGAAATCTGTGTTACAAGTTAAACAACAATTCTAATAATGAATTATATTTAGAATTTAAACAGTATTTGTCTTGCATTTACATAAATTTTACACTTGAATAGCCAAAATGACAAGTTTTAGTCTTTTAAATGCGATTAATCGCGATAATTTTTTTAAGAGCGATTAATTAGTTAATTGTTTAATCGATTGACAGCACTAATATATATATAAAATATAAAATAAAATAAAATTAAATATATATATATATACATATATATATATATATATATATATATACACATATATATATATATATATATATATATATATATATATATATATACATACATATATATATATACATATATATACATATATATATATATATATATATACACTGATGTCAAAAGTTAACGCAATTAACGCAGTTGCAGGTTGTGGTCCTGTTGTGGTCGACGTGTGTTTAACATGCAAAGAACTATGAATAAGACCAAGGAAGCACTTTTCAGTATAAAACGATTAATGTCGCATCACCAGTTTAATGCAATTTCGGGTGTGTCATTTTTAACTTTCCACTTCTGTTTAAATGGAATGTGATGATACCACATTGCGAACAGAAAGAAAAACCTCCGCATTATGTGACTCGGTTGGTCCTTTACGATAATCAAAAAATCGTTGCTTACATGGTAGACTCTTAATAAGAGTATTATCCTAATCATATTAAAATCGGAGTATTGGTGTCCATGTACATGTACTCAGAATGTGGCAGATGAAGTCGCGAGCTGTCAAAGACAGCGCAATCCTCTGCCTTTCAGCATGAGCATTTTTTACTTTAACGCAAGTTTTGTAATGTGTCTGCTTCGTGTTGTTTTGTCAGAATCCTTGTAAAATACAGCCATACTTTAGAACGCTTAGTTTAAGCATACAGCGATCTGATTGGCTGATGCTTCCATCGCAACTTGAAAATTTGAGCTAGTCCCAACTTCTGCAGCAAGCAACGCCTCTGAAGCGGCGCCGACGGATCCACAATGCAGCTCGGCAACGCCTGACGTCACCCATTCAAAGTGAATGGGAAGCGTTGACGCTGATGCCCCGTGTGCATGGGGCGTAAGGGCAGAGGGGGAGTTGCTCTAGCCACCGGGCCACCCCCCTGTGCACGGCCCTGGTCTGTGTGCGTGCATTTCCCATGATGCTATACAGTAAACTCTTTCAACCAGAGTCACACAAAGCAAAGCACAGCAAGACAACTCTTTAGCTCCTTCCACTCTCATAAAGCACAGCTAATAATGCAATTTTGTCTCCTCACTCTCTCAAAATATTTGCATATACAGTCTATGCATTTTATGTACCTAAATTATATTGTTTCTGTAAATGCAACCAAATTCAAATGTATATTTTCTCATTTCTCAGTCATTTTTAATTCCATTGTGTCATTTGCAATGTGTCATGAGACCTCCTCATTAAGGATGAGAGGTTTTTGGTTGTGCACGTGCAATTTTTTAAAAACTTTTTTTTCTTTAAATTCAAGTTTTTTATGATGTGATTATTTTTTTAGCTTGTTGGTTTGCTTCACGGCTTGTAACAAGTTTTTTTCTTTTTAAGTCCTCAATAAAAAATACTTCCGGAATCAGCACAGCCGAAAAAGTGTCGGGACACTAATGCTCTGTTCTATTTTGGTGACCTCAGATTTACACAAAGGGCTGCCAAATTGCTAAATGAGCTATTTCCCCTGATTAACGGCAAGAGCAATAAATCGTTCTTATTAATCATAACTTAAACAAACTTTTCATTAAATGCCATTCTTTTCTTCTTTAAAACCACATGGGTAGGGCTCAATAACAACCCTAACTTCCTGATTTAAAAAAAACAGAATTCAATTCAATCAGTCTTTCATCAGTAATGACTTGCCATAAAGGGGAAACTCCTGAAATAAATTATGAAACTTAAATGTAACAAACTGAGAATGTGTTTTAAGAAACACTACAATTTCCTTTTGAAAATAGGCTTATTTTACAATGTTTAAATGTATTTATGTTTTTATTCATTTAGCTGGTATCGAGATCTGGCAGGAGCACTTTTTGTCTAGTTTAGCATAAATCACTGAATCGGTTTAGTGCAGTGGTGCCCACACTGGGTCCTGGAGGGCCGGTGTCCTGCAGATTTTAGCTCCAACTTGCCTCAACACACCTGAAAGAATGTTCTTAGAAAGTCTAGTAAGAGCTTGATTTGCTAGCTCGGTTATGTCTGACTGAGGTTAAAACTAAACTTCTGGTTAACTTTTGATAATGGTCTGGTTTAGACCATTATTATCATGCACAATTATTTAACATTTTTATTTTATAGTTAAGTTTGACTCTTCTGCATTGCTATTTTCTTGCCCGATATGGCCAGGAACTATACTGTCATTTTGGCCTAATAATCAAAAAACTTTTTGCCTGACAGGGTGTGCCTGAAAATAGTCCCCCGCACTAAGCCTTAATATGCATTCACAACGAAAGCAGCGAGAGCGTCAAAATAGCTGGAAGTCATTAGTTTTCAATGGGAGCCAGCGGCAATAAGCAGCGAGGAGCAGCACGTCTTCGCTGGTGTGGCCGTCGAGGAGAGTTGAAATCAAGTCAATTTTATGGTATTGAGCAATGACGTGGTTTGGTGGCTAGAAATCGCATGTAGAAGTCCACCGCTTAAGAGGAGTCCGGAAAACAAAGCCCTATGAACTTTGGTTCTGACCACACTTGTTCCCAAGGAATAAACTATAGAAGTTTGATTATTGTGGTTGCCGGATTTCCAATTATTTACAATGTTTTTATAAAGGGACAGACGTTAAAAAGTAACTGGTAAGTTGCTGATGTGCATTAATGTTACATAATTTATAATTTTTTTTTTAAAAAGCAGGAATCTCATGCTAACTATAACTACAGTACAAACTATTATTGCTGCTTCAGAGTATTTCAGACATATGGACACATATTGGATAAATGTAGCAATGCCACATCACACGTAACAACTACATCTTTCATTGGTAAATGAATTTGATAAAAAGCGTGCAACATTTTCATGCTGAAAAGCATGTTTTTATGCAGGAATGCAACTGATTTTCTGATATGCAGCAATGGCTCCTTTAAATACGAGATAAATGCAGCAAAATTTGACGATCCGGAGCTTTAAAGGCAGACAGCATTGTTGCCACGCCGGCCAGAGGGAACTTTGACGTTCTCATCGCCCCACCAGTGCACCACTAGTTATAATCTGCTTAATAGCATTGCATCTGCTGAAGTCATACAGCAGCAAATTTCCTTATTACACCAGAATGAGAGTATAGTTCCTGGCCATATCCAGGGTATATGCAGGAATCCTAAAAGTAATTTCAGTACCTTTTTAAGGCTTTTTAAAGACCTTCTTAGAATATCTTAAAACCCTATCGCCACTTCTAATCAGTACCAAACCTTTAACTTAATAAACAGTTGTAGTTAAATGAATCAATGGACCACAACCATGCAACAGAGCTCAGATAAGCTCGGAAGAAAAAAAGCTTGACAGAATTGTGGGGTTGTTTTCAGCGACAGGCTTCAGCCATTGTTTAAACTCGTCTCCAACCAGGAGTACGCAAACTGACATTTTCCCATTTTGCCGTCTGTTTCGCTCTACGGTTTTGCTACATGTGGAGAGTGTCACATCATCTTCCAGCGTTTGTCGTAAATTACGTGACATCACTCGAATGGAGGAGCTTAGCCGGACGTGCCCTGGCCCAAACCAATCACGTGGATTGAGCAATATGTTTTTTTGAAATCAAACACTTTGGACAAAGGTTTAATTAATTTTAAGACCTCGTAAAAACACGATTAAGATTTTTAAATACCTTTTAAGGGCCTTAATTTTCTCATAATTGATTTATCAACTTCTAATACTTTAAGACCCCGCGGACACCCTGATATCGGTCTAGAAAATGGCAACTTTTCATTTTTGCTCAGTTTTTGTACACAGTGTAACTATTGTGGTTATTTTTGAGTGAGATGCTAATGGTCTAGTCTGATTCAATGATCTATGCTAAGCTAGGCTATAAGTGCTCTCACCAGACCAGAGATTGACTGAATAGATAAAAAATGGTAACACTTAGTTGTTTAACTCTAGGAGAGTTGTAAAATTTGCCTACTTTGGGAAAAAAGAGGAGCTCTTTTAGTGATGTAGGAAAAGTGAATAGAGTAGGATTACAAATAAGAAATACTGACTTCTCAACAGAGTTTCGAGGGGAGAGTGGTTTAGGTTGAGCCTTCCTACGCTGTTGGGCCTCCTCCAGTAGCTGATCTCCTTGAGGGAAAATCCCCTCCATCAGATCCATAGTGGTCTTCATCTTACTCTGGTCTAAAATGTCAGCGAGGGACTTGTCTTTGTCCATTATGTCTCTAGCCAGCTCCTTTCTTTTATCATCCTCTGAATGTGAAGGATGCAAAGACACTCCATTGGTACTCTGATCCAATGGTGGACCTGTCTGAAGGCCAGGTTCCACATAAGACACTGGGTTTATATTGCTTTGTGGCCCCTGGTCTTTTAGAGGGCCCATGTCTGGGTCTCTAAGACCAGGAACCTGATCTTTTTGTCTGGTGTATGTACAAAACAAAGAGTATGACTGATCCGGGTTCCCCAAACTTTGAAGATGAGCTCCCACAAGTCCCTGCGAGTTGACAGGCGTCTCGCTGGGCAGGTCTAGATATTGCCGACTTTCTTTTTCCGTGTCACTCTCTGAATGGACTATCTTAATGGGCACTTTCTTCACAGATGTGTTCTCATCTTTAATCTGATCCATCCTGATAAACAACAACAATGAAAACAGAATTGCGTTATTTTGGCGAACATAAGAAATGTAACTTGGAATTAGGCTAATTAGGATAAATGAAATTATTGAGACTAAAATATGTGTGGAAAACACATTAAAAGTGATCTTTTATTTTTGGTTTGCAGAGTTTGCACACATAAAAGCAAGTAGGCAGTTATTCTCCGTTACTGTGACCAAGTGTATGCATACAGTTAAAAATCATCTGACACTAAAATCTTGGTCCCACTCAAAAGCTTAATCTTCTCTAGACTTATAAAAGCTTCTGGTGACTATGAACCGTAAGCATACTAAGGAGTTCCCACATTTCAGCAAAACCAGCAAAAATACTGCCCCCAGAAATGATCTTTTATAACAGTCTCTAGCTTAGGCTTGAGGGTATGCTTCTTATGACTGGTCTGAAGAACTGCAGATTACCCATGTGCACTGCAGCAAGGACACATATGAATAAGCCCCTTGTATGTGCATGAATACAATAAAGGGACAGTCAGAGAAGCACTGTCATTAAATTACTGGGCTGTAGGGAGAGTTTCCAGTTATGGTTTTAAGATTGCAGCTGAGAGGAGCCCAGCTGTGGTTTGCCAGTGGAAATCTCTCTGAATTCCAGCAGAGAGCTGAAAGAATTCCTGAATGGCGGAATTGAACTCTAAATACAGAAAGTCTTACCTTCCAGGAGCTTCATCCTGTGAGGAGACGGAGACAGGGGGCTTGTCAGTCAGCCTCTGGGGAGCGAACTGGGGCGAGGGCGAACGCTGCCCATCCATTGTGGGCTGGGTCGGGCCAGCGGTTTGTTGGGTGGGCAGGACAACGGGAGGGGGAGGAGGTGGAAAGGGAGGAGGCACAAGCTCTTGGTGTTGCTCCTCCTCCCCGACAGGCCCTTTGCTGTACTCTGGACTCTTCCAAGGAATGGGGGCTGAAACTGGGGCGGAGCTTTGATTGTTGACTGGGGAAATTGGGGCCAGAGCTCCTCCTTGTGATCCAGGCTGGACCTCCTGAATATTGCTAAGAGGAGGAGGTGTTCCCTCAGGGCATTTGTACTTCTCCAGATGGGGCAAGAGAAATGAGCTCTTGTTTTTGGAGAGGGCTGATGGTTCACTGCGAGTGCTATGGACAGGGAAATGTAGTGCAGGCTTATGATGGCTGGAGGGAGGATCTACAGTCTTTTTCTCAGGTTCTTCAGGAGGTGTTTCTGGTTTCTCCTTGCATAAGATTTCACTATATCCTTTTTCATTTAACCTAAGAAAACAACAGAGAAACACTTTAAAAACAAATTCTCAAATCCACCAAGGCACGCAAGCAAAGTTAACGAATCAGAAGTGCAGAATCTGAATGTATTTGTCCATTCTGGTGCACAAAGCCTCACTGTGTACAGCGAAAATCGATAGGCAGGCAGACATTTCTCCCACATTTCACCATCTCCCCGTGGTAACTCCCAGGCTGGCTGTCATACCCAGCATATTTGTGTTCCCACAAGCCTGTCATGCTGTGGAGAATGAATGATCTTTCCCCTGCAGCAACTGGCAAAGAGAATGCTTTTCCCTTCTTAATCTCAATTGTTTTCGTTTACGTTTTTTACCCTCTTCCTGGTCTACTCTGATTTATGGATGGCAGGGGAAGATAAAAGAGATCTTGTGACATTATTTTTTACAAGTAAATTTGGGGGACGGGGCTGAGAGGACCTCTTATATTCTAAACCATATAAGAATATCTTAAGGAAAGATATTAAAATCTATTGGGGATGAGTGGTCAGGAAGTTTACATTTACAACAGGTTCAGTGATACACCCAAAACTAAAAAAAAATGTAAACTGAATGGCACAGGCCCAGATATACGTCATTTTTTGTATTACAAACCATCTTGCACACAACAATGTCCACATAGCTTTTAAAGTATACTTAAGTGCACTGGTTCTCTGTAGGTGGGCTTTTGGAACAGACATTTGTTCCCATACTTTTTTTAGTTTAACCTCACACAAAGACCATTTACTCTACTTCTGAACCTTACAACAGACCATGTGTAATTAGCACTGTAATTCCGAATGGCATAACCTTTAATTCACTTAAACGGAACAATAAAAAAAAAAAAAAATGGACTCATCTGAAAATGTCGCAATAGAGTTTAACATGGTGATGATACTCAAGTATTTTGGATCAACATTGCCAGACTGGAATTTAAAACAAAATAAACTCAAGTGCAGGCAAGCGCAAATGGATGAGTTTGACATGTGAGCATTACCAGCACAATTATTCGCCCATCATCTGATTCCCCAAGGGCACAAAATTTGATGTGTTAGTATGTCTACGTGAACCCCCCATTAATGAAAATTACATCTGCCCACTAAAGCCTAGTTTAAAAAACTCAAAATTGCAGTAGAATGGAGTAAAACTCACATTTAAGTAAGTAAGACCCATATTTAAAACTATATTTTAAAAACATTTTTTAATAAAGAAAAATGACACAGGTCACAAAGATAAACATTCAAACGTAAAATTATTTAAGTATATATATAAAAAATGTTACATAAAATGCCTGAGTGGCTTTTAACAAGAACGTGTTTATGATTAGGACACAGAGTAGGTATAGAGAGACCTTTATTGTTTCAATAAGTGATCATCCATCTGATAAATATTCTTATTCACACTCAATAAAGCATTAATACATATTGTTAATATGTAAGCCTTAATATTGAGGTGCAAGCATATGCCACTACTTCTACAAAGTACAAATAGCATCTAAATACACTTAATGCTAATTAAATAACTATTTTATATATATTGCAAATAAAATCTATCACCATTTCTCTGCTGTCTATAATTAATTACCTGCTGGGTGTATAGAACCAGTGGCTGTGCTCCAAAGAAACAGATGGGTAGAAATTTTGACTGGGGAGAAGAGGGCAATAAAGAAAATCCAAAGTAGTAGTGAATAATAGAGAAAAGGTTACAGATACATTGGATAACTATATTGGAAACTATAGTTACAGACAGAATTACCACAGAAAATTTCATTAAAGTTTTAATGTAAAATGGAATAATTTCTTAGATCATATTTATACCTGGTATAAAAATGAGATTTGGTCAATTAGATCAGTGGTTCCCAAACTGGGGGTCTACCATATTTTATCCATAATCTACATAAAATAAAGGTGGAGGTCTCCAAAATTAAACAAAGAATAGTCTTGTGCTGTAAATATCGTGCACATGCCTCATTAATTAAGGTTAATAATAAATTAAATATAAAAAATTTATATGGTCGCTAGACTGTAACACTGTTTTGTGTTGCCAATATGCTTGAGTTTATATAGTTCCTATAGGTGTGCGTAAGTCGTTGTGTGCAATGCTTGTATGTTTTTAACCACCTCTGAGGTTAGTGGGGCTAGTGAATCTCTGGAATTAATATTTGGGGGTTACAAGCTGAAAAGATGAGAAAAATAAGCCTTACTGTTTACTCCTGTTGCTTTAATCACTTTTGTCCACTTAAAACCACATTCCTGATTTATTTGAAGGAGAGTCTATGGACAGATTTAAGCATGGTCCTTTTTTGACCTTTCAGTAATAATCAAATTAAATAAAAAAATTAAAAAAAGGTTACATGGAGAGCAACAGCTTTTATTTATACTCTTATAAATACAAACCTAACATGAATTTTATTGCATGTGTTGAAAACAAGATTGTTAAAACATTTGTTACATTTTGTCCTTGTTTAACCACACTCAGACAGCAAAGTTTAAATCCCTGTATTTTAGGTCAGTAGGCAGAGAGAAGGTTGTCAATTTTCCATTTTGTTTATAAAGTGTAATTCACTCTTGTGATGCATTAGAAATCATTTTGGTGGTTAAGATTTTGCTATCAATTTTCAAAAAAATCCCACTGACCTCAAACTTTTATCCAGCAGTGTACAAAAGGAAGACAGAAAAGTGCAGAAAGAAGAAATGTATTCATGCCATTCACGTTACCTGATACATTGCTGCTTTCATTGAGATGTCATTAGCACGGCATTAACGCATGGGTAACACTGAAGTAGGATTCAGCCTTTTTGTGATACAATGCAGCGTCTAACACATGCATTTGATCTCAGCATGAACTGGCATGCAGAGCGTCTCCAGTGTAATACCATGTAAGCTTTTGTCCACAACACCCCACCTTTAATCAAACATCACACTCTTGCTAACTTCCCTTGTTTGATAAAGTTCAAATGACAAAACATGTTCTACCAGTAAAAGAAATGTCTAATTGAGAAATGCCAAAAATCCCTCCCTGTGGATACTGAACTGTAGGTTTCCATGACTTACCATGCATTTACTAGCAAACCAATGCCTGTATTTTCAAAACAGAGAAAACATTAAGATTGAAATAATATCTTACAGATTTAAATGACTCAAGACTTCCAGCAGAAAACTTTACATCCACGTCCTCCTGTTGCAGTCTATATCCAACATTAGTTGCTTTAAAACAGCCTTTACTAATCCACTGCAGTAAACATGAAAGCTGACTATACGAGACGTAGTGCTCACCTCTAATGTTTAGGTGTTCTCATCTCAGCGACAGGTGCTTCCTGTAGCCCTGAACATGTGTAATCTCACCTGGGTGGGGCTAAAACGCTTGTAGCTCAATTGAAATGCTTCCAACTCGATTTTCTCCACACTAGGTGTACTCATAAAAGTCAACAATAGCAAAGGGTTTTTTAAACATTACAATCATCATTTAGTTCCACTCATTGCTTGAGAATTAGAATTGATTATGAATGAAGAATCATTATATCTAGAACTTCAATTATAGTAGAAAAAAATTAAATAAACTAAACTTGTGTGTCTTTGACCTTAAGTGAAATAACTAAATGAAAGGCTAGTTGGCTGAAATTTAAACAAATTTAAAAATGCTAAATGCTATGTGAAGATGCAGCTTTATGGTATAATTCATAGTTTGCTTTCCACAGCACCTTAATTACAAGTGAGAATCAAGACAAAACCTTTCATAGGGGGCAATTTACAAGGCTTTGGATGATGGATGTTTGGAAGTAACATGCTTATTCAAGTTTGCCACTCCTTAGGTCCACACACAGACATCTATGGAAAAATGACCCTGAGAAGCCATAGGTTGAAATGCCCGAAGATGTGGTTAATATGTAAGATAAGGTAGATAGGCAGGTAGATCATCTATTACACACACAACCGGAAGCAGTTAGTGACATAAAAATGTTTGACTATTAATTTGACTATTTGTGCCTTAACAACAAGCTTAAACAAACTGAAGTTCATCTAACTTACATCTCAAAGTGTGTGAAAGTAAATATCCAATTTAGCTCGATTCACATTAGAGATGAGCCCCACCTAAAAGTTTGAATGTAAATGGAGTAACATCCCAGCACAACTATCCATTATCTTTAAGCTGCATCTTCAAAGGACACACATTTGCTTTCATAACGGATTTTCTATAGACTCAAGAAGGGGAGAGATTGCAGGTTCAGCTTAACATGTTTCACGAGCTAGACAAGAAAAGATATTATTTCAAAACTCGCCAAGACAGCTGGAGGTCATTTCATGCCAATACTTTCAGAATCAGATTGTGTTCTCTACATGTAAAAATGCCATTGCTAATGCCATTTTCTTTTCCTTGTCAAACTAATACATTATTCATATACACAATATACATACATTCCCTTTATTCTTTAAAAAGATGATTTTGAAATTCAGAATGTTTGGTATTATGAATAGGATTAAGCACCGAAGTTTCTCCTTAGTATAGTATAGGACTACTATTCATGCCAGTTTCAGAGTAAAATGCAACTGACTACACATACACAGAATAAAACTTGCATTGTGTTAAATGACTGAAATGATGCATGTATCTAAAAGAGCCCTTTGAAGAAGTAGGAGGAGAATAAAATCTAGGTTGCTATTTTACTCTTTGGCCTGATTATGAATGGACTGGTTGGACACTTCCTATGTCATAGCCGCATGCCTATACCTCAAAGCCATCTCCTTGTAACACAAAGCTCAGTCAGTGAGGATAGCAGTGCTGTCACAGCTGGGCTAAATCCCAACATTGCAAAGACCACAAAGAGTCTAGTGTTTGCCTTTGACCCAGCGAGGGCCGACTGATGGCCCAACTGTGGATTTCTGTTTGCAGCAAAGCCAAGATCAGAGCCATTAGTGCTGGAATAGTTTCACTGACACACTGACACAATCCTAGCCAGCACAGTTAGCATCTGTATTATTTACATTACAAAGGAAAAGTTGTCCGGTTTAGTCTCTCAAACATGCCCAGGAGTATCACAGACATCAAGACTTATAAAAAGTACTCTGATAATCACATTTAAACACTATCTTTTTACACTTAAAAGTGCAATGGGAAAATGAAACAGCACCTACCTTGTACTATTCTTGTCCTGTTGGCAAGGACTCTTTTCAGATTTGAAACAGTCAGCTGACTTCTTTTCTTGTGGTGGAAGTTTCTGTGAGGATTTGAATACACAAATTTGAATCTTTTTATCCAGAAATTGATATACCTCAATTAGTGTGAACTTTCGTTTTTTTAGCCTACTGTCTATTCTCATAATTATCTTGGTCTATTGACATGACTGTGATCTCACCTGCAACTTCTCTTGTTTGTAGGTGTGACTTTCTGTACTTAGTTTAATATTTGACTAAGTTTTATATTGCCATCATTGTAGTTATATGTGAGAGACAGGTCACATTTGATTTATTATAGTTTTGAAAAAAAAAAAAAAACTGACAATACATGTTTTTGTAAATGGTAGTGTAGATGGCAAATCAGAAAACTTCAACAAATGCAATACTGAAAGTTGTGGGATTCATTTAAACAAGGTCACAAACCTGCCCATAAAAGTCAGCAGAAGGTGAGGATCTAGATCTTTCATGCACACAGGTGGGGTTACTCCGTCGCTCTTTTCCTGTATCGAGGATGTTATCAGCAGAGTGGTATCGGCCAGATACTCTTGGTTCTGTAGTCTTCCTCTGGGTGTTCCATTTGGCCTCATACTCTGCAAATGTGCCTAGTCGCTGTTGTTCTAGCAATGCTTGATGGTTCACTGAGTTAGGGCCATCCAGACCTTCATTAATGTGGTGTTCAATGGGGGTTGAGCTTTCACCATTATTCCGCCCTGCCATATCACTGTTTGCAGAATAGTGCATGCCTCCAGGCTTGGACAGTCTGGGGTCTTCTGATATCTGCAGGTTTTGCTTTGGCATAGGCTTAGGGAAAACTGGTTTCCCTGTTGTCTCAAAGAATCTTTGTTGATTTTCTAAGTGTGCAACATTTTCAGGCATAGTGGAGCGTTCATCAGCTCCTACTTCATGAATTTTATCTGGCTCAGAAAAAGACGTCACTTTCTTTTCAGCAGATATCCGCTTACGGCCTCCAATGCGAAGCACATGATTACTCCCTGAGGTGGGTTTGCTAGGTGTGACCTCTGAGACACTTGAAGGAGGTACATCTTTTCGTGTGGGACCTTCAGTACCTGGATGCTCAAATAATACTGGCTCTAGGTCTTTTCTCCTGAATGATGTAGCCTGGAGGACTCTGGCCTGAGCTTCTTTAAGATGGTCTTTATAAGAAATGGAAAAGCAGCCATCTGATGAGGGAGAAGCAGTCCCTGTGGTCTTCCACAAAGCAGACTCTTCTACAGTTTCAACTGGACTTTCTAAAGTGGCTGCACTTTGACTCTTTTGGAGATGCGCCCTTCTCATCTGGATCTCGTTGCGCAAAGTGGTGGCAAATCGGTCATTCCGTCTAACCTGTTTACTACTGAGACTGTCAAGGGCTTCATGTTGTGCGCTTCCACTTTTGATCTGATTAGAACAGTCATCTGTGTCATTGTGCCCTTGGGCCAGAGAATACAACATAGGTGTTTTCTGGGGACATATCTTTGATTCGCTTTTAGTTGGAAAGGGTTGTTGCGAGTATTCCTTATGATGAAGATGGCCAGCACTTCTCCTGTGCTCGGGCTGCTTACTGGGTGGATAACTACCAGAAAGCTCATCTGAGCCATGCACATGGTGCTGCTTTTGGCATCCCCTAAGCTCATTATGTTTTGTTGAATCAGACATATTCAAGGGATTACTTGGTGCAGAAACATAATGTTGGTTTTCATTTTGTTTAAAGGAGGCACTTCTTTCTTTATTATCATGGTGCTGCGATTGAGGAGGGAAATACCGCTCTTTATTCCCTCCTTGAGAACCTATGGACATTCTGTCCCGTCCATTGTGGGACATTTCTGAGACTGAAGAGGCTTTAGAGTCATCAGCTCTCATTAAAGAAGCCTGTGTTAATCCCTGAGAGATATGGTGGGAATTGACTCCTAAATTAACTGACAGTGATGCAGCTGGTCTTCCAGTTTGATTCTGGCTGTTGAGTTGCATGTGGTTGTTTGTGTGCAGTTCCTGCATACTACTGAAATAGCCACTGAATGGAGGTTTCATTGCTGTTCTAGTTTGAGCATGGAAAGTGCCTTCGTCACTGTACTGCTGTGCATGGTATGGAGCATGGCCATAGGATGGATGGCTATCTCTTATGTCTGTGGTTGATAGGGAGTATGTCTTATCTGATGATGTACGTTGGATATACTGATGATGAGAATCAGATGAAATGCAGCTATTTGAGGAATCATTTTTGGATTGTAGATTATAATCCCGTCGACCCTCAAGACAAATCTCGATGACTTGGTTAGACCTTTGTGTGCTTTCATGGGTTTCTCCTGGCTTTTGTTGTGGTTTCGCTTGAGGCTTTACTTGAGAATGACCACCAAGGCCCTCTGAAGTACCTGTGATCAGACCCTTCTCGTGAACCTTGGTAGCTGCAAAGCTATCACTGCGTGTGGGTGGAGTGGGAGGTGGAGTAGATGATATCATGTTTTTCTTCATATCTGGAACATGCCAGACAGGTCCAATATTAACTCTTCCAGAGCTTGAATGACGGTTGCCAGGCAGTTCTTCAGCTCTTGGGATCTCGTGGTTACCTGTACTTGAGAGGTGGTGCAGGTATCCAGGCCTCTCATCTTGTCGTACCCCTTCGCTTAGGTTTTGGCTGTGCCTGCCATTGCTGTGCCTGGCACTTGAATCCCACTGATTTATTTTGTACAGCATGTTCTCAGTGGATGCCGTGTTACTTTTGGACAGTGTGTAATCTGGGGTTCCCGAACTTGTAGAAAAAGAGCTGTATGCCGAGTCCCGTTTACCACTACCCAAATGTTCAATGCTATTATTGTTGGATTTGTTTGGGGAAAGACGGCCAGGTGGATAGGGATGAGAACTATGTTCTAGGCTGTCCATACTCCCCAAAGAACTGAACTGATCGGATACTCTCCGTAGATTTGTTTGATCCCAGCCAGTTGAGAGTTCAGAAGAGAATGAACTAAGAAAAACAAACATGTGAAAGGAGTTTACCGTGGAAAAATTACCAAATGCAACTGCAGTCAGTAATCAATATTATGAGTTTGGGCCATTCAATCTATAATTAAAACAAAATAAATGGAGGCTTTCATTCCGAAATCTGTACTGAAATAAGCAATACAGACAAAACCAAATTCTTTTCTGTCTCTTTGGTTACCTTGCATCATATCTTGTTTGCCAAACTGGTGAGGGTGTGGACTGGGTTTTGGCTTCTGAATGGGTCTCGTTGAACTTGGTGGCATGCCAGGAGTGAGGTCTGCTCATGGGTTCATTTCTCCTGTGGGCAGCAAGTGGGAGAGAGAAGGACAGAGACAGGGTAGAGTAAAGAAGGAAAGATTAGAAAACAAGGCAATAAAATGTTTGAACAGCTGCTAAACGAATGGCAAACACAGAATAACAAACACCAAAACAACTATTCTACAGAACAGAAGAGTGTCAAAACATGGTAGGTGGTTATGGAAGCAGAAAAATGATCATGGCAAAAGACAAAAATGCAATCTGTGAGCATGCCAACGTTGCAATCATCTACCATCAACACAAGGTTTGTCAACAACAACATACAAAAAGCCTAACAAACACCAAATTAAATTGCTATAATCCACAAATCCACCCTCTCGCCACTTACAACACAGTAACATACCCTTTAAACCGATTCTTTCTGAGATGCATGAGGTGAAATAGACAAATGCATAATTATTATCTAAACTATTTAAATAATTAAACATGGACTAAGTAAAACTCATTGTCCTTTTTTGTTCAAACAAACAACAACATTTTAAAATAAAAATTGATGAACAGGGTTCCCACACCTTTGACCAAACTGAAAGCAAATGATTTTTTGGAAAAAATTTAAATAATTCGTTTTTAATTAATTTAGGTAATTTCAATGAATTTCATTGTTTTCTAAGACTAGAAATCACAATTTTAATGATCGTGGGAACTCTGAATGAAGGATGCAAAGGTGGAAAACTAATGGGTGGAAATTGAACTTCTGAAGGATGATATCACAAGGCCATGGAGGGAGTATGATTGTAGATAGTCATGACTACACTGGGTGGTACAGGAAAGGAAGAATGTTTTCTGGTGGATACGTTGACACCATACCTCATGGAACTTCGTAAAATCTTCGTGAGAAAGCTCCGGGCCATATGCACGTCGCTCTCTGATGGCATTTTCTGCGCTACAATATCCACCATTTTCATTTTCCTGAAGGGGGTTAAAGGGGGAGGGACACATACAGTCTGAATCTCAGAGTTCAGAAAAGTTTCACTGGAACTCTAAAGTGCTGTATTCCAAATAGAGACATAAAAAGCCAACTCTGTGATGGGAAAATGCATACAGACCTAGGCCACAACACTGCCTGTAATTAGTCAAGCATTATACGCAAGAACACAAACACAAATATAGCCCTTCACAAAAAACATAACCAATTTAGACAAAACAACCACAAAATGCTATAATTAAGTTATTATACTGTATGAAAAATACACTGGCAAAACACAGACTATCCACATAAATGAAGCCTGTGTTTTTTAATGCCAATCCCTAAACGTTGCTGACAGATTTGGAAAGCACATGTTTTCAAAGACTTTAGAAGTTAAAGTAATTCAGAAAACACCAGTAGGAGCACTGTGAAAGGGTTTAAAAAGGACAAAATCTACAATAACAGATTAGTACCCTTCTCATCTGCCCATGCTACCATACTGAGTACTCTCTGCCATACTCTCCACACAAAAACCACGTAAAGAGTGGAAACAGGGAGACATCTTGTGGTTAAGTTTTAACACTACAATTCAAAGTAATAATGTATGCCATGGAATAAAATAAAGAGATAAATATTCTTTTATCAAACACAATATAGCATCTCCTTTTTAGCATCTGTCAATGTGAGGTTCAAATTTAGTTATTTTTGTGTCCCTTAGCTTGAAACATTCCTTAGCATGTTGCCCAACATCTCCACAAACCAAAGAGCACACCCACACCTGACCTGTGACCTTTGTGTTTTGAGAGTCAAAACATTCCCTTCGTTTCAGAATTTCAGTGATTCAGTTAAGTGATAGGATTGTAAAAACAGAAATTCATCTCTTTGGATCTAAAACCCAAGCCAGTAAGATTCTCCACAAGGCCAGAGAGGTTAGAACAACAGTCAAAGACGTGCTGTTCTACTCCATCACACCAAGAGGTCAAGGGCCAATCACCCACTAACCAATAAATACTAAAACACACTCCTGAAAATTCTAGGAAAATAAAAACTACTATTCCAAATATCACCAAAATATTAGCTTAAACACATCTTTGATGCTGATGTTATATAAAACAATATGTCCCGGTGACATGTTTAAAAGATAGTGGAATGAATTAAACAGAAAATTATGAATAGAATGGTCTAAAAGACACCCTCTGCTCTCTCTCATTGCTGCTGTCGTTTCCTGTGTAGAAGTTTCAAGTGTCTATGTGCTCGCCACACATGGTGCTGGCTATTCAGATGCTAATGACACTCTCTTTATTAGAAGTATTGTCAGGGCTACAGCTGGTCTAGCGCAGATATGCCACTGGTCCGAATCAGTGGCCCCCAGGCGGAATGGAGGCCAAGTAGGGGGGTTCGGAGGGAAAGTCCCCCACCAGTGTTTTCAGAGCAAAGCATGTTCAAAAACAAACAAATCACTTCTGAAAAGACAACAACCAATCCAGAGTCCCCATGCAAATCTTTCGGCCTGGCTAAAGAGTTACAATCCAAATCTTATTCATAGCGAGAACTAACATGAAAAAGTACCTATGTGAAAGACTAAAAAAAGCTTTTAAAAAGGGTCTTCTTTTTATTTAAAACAACGTGAGGATTTGATGCAGTGTTCACACTAACATCAAAGGTTGCCATGATAAATGCAACAGGTTTCACGAGGTAAAGTTTTAACACCCCATTTACTTCGTTTACACACAGCCAGAGTCATCCGAAGGACAAGCTGCACCAAAGCTAAGACTTCACAAACAGTAAAATAAGACGAGACTAAACAGATGTCAAGATAAAAGCAAAAGGAACAACAACAGGTGTGAGGCAAAGACGGCAGACGAAAACAGACAGCAAAACACTCACCAAACAATCCCTCAAGCGAGCAAGTTTCCCAAACTGGTCCCTAAAAGAGCAGACCTGAGATGCTTTGATGGATGAAATGGTTCTGAGGGTCCGGGTTTGCTCCAGTGGACTCCCCAGGCAGCGCATTCCACATTCACATCAAAGACAGGCCAGGACAAAGGGCCCTCCATAGACGGCCAGTCCCGGACCGCAGTGTGAGTCTTTTCAACCATCCACTTCTTCCATATGAAAGACTACAGAAAAAGGTAGCCTTGAGGAACCCCATGTAGAGATCAGATCATACGATCCTTAGCACATACACTCTCATATCTACTTCCAATTGCTGTGTGACTGTTGCAGTCAGAGCAGATCTCTACAGGGATTATGGTGAATTTACCCCGGGAAGGAAAGGGGGAGGGAGTGAGGAGGGGGCTGTTGTCATAGCCAGTCTCCTCGAAGCAATCTAGCAGCTTCTGTTTCCCTATTGGCTCATAGGTGGTATGCTAATGAGCAGTTGAGAGGGCCAAATGTTCTCATTGAACCCCTCTTGTGCAGCGGCCCCGGGTTTCTTCTATTACTATGGCAACAGGTTGATTTTTGCAGAGTTTTAAGTGCACTGGTTTGTCAAGAGGAGTGAAACCAAAGAAAGGAGATGACAGTAGAATTACATATTTAAACAAAATAATCAATTATTTCTATAAACCTAATTAGTACAACAATGAATATTGAGCAGCAGTTCTGAGCTGTACAACACTAGAGTTTTCCTATTGAGGCAACCCGGCACTATGCGTCACCATGACCATTGACCTCAAACTACAACCCCTCCCAACCCCCGAAATTGATCATGTGACTAGTAGAATTACTGCAGCTCTGAAAAAAGCCATCTGGTTAAAGGGATAGTTCACACAAAAAATGATCTACAAAAAATTTAAAAATGAATTACCAACCTGTTGAACACTAAAGAAGATATTTTAAAGAAAGCTGAAAACCTGCATATATGGATGGATATAGATGGATATAGATACAGAAATAGATGAATATAGATATAGAGATAGATTGAGATAGATATAGAGATGGATGGGGGGATGGATGGATGGATAGATAGATATGGGGATAGATGTATTTATTTATTATTTATTTATTGCCACATCAGTAACTTATGGCTATTTCATGACAAAATGGATATACATAAAAATATTACATGATAAAAACAAATTTGTACTACAAAAAAAAGTTAGACAAATATATAACATATAAATAAATAACATTCACAAAATAATATATTCAAAGCTAAATATAATTTTTTCATTTCAATTTTCCATTAATAATTTAAGATTCCTCCTGATGGTACCTTTTTAGAAATGTTCAAAGTACTCTCTTTATAAAAATGTTGTCTAATGGTATTCAAATGTCCACATTCCAACAAAATATGTTTCATGGTAAGACCAGCTTGTCAGTAATTACATTAAGGTGGTGCTTCGTTATTCAGTAATTACAAATGAGACAACCTAGAATGTCCAATTCGAGATCTAGTACAGACAGTTTGTTCATGTCTGGTCTCAAAAATACAATTTGCAAAGTGTCTTTCATTTATTCTCAGGTTAATTTCATGTAATTTATTATTTATGTAGTAGTCCCATTTCCTTTGCCATGTTTCGTTTATATACAAATTAATTGTAGGTTTCAAATCCTTTAGGAGGAATTAAACATATGTCACTTTCAAGGAAGCTTCATCTGCCAGTCTGTTTCTATGTAGTAGATTGAGATAGATAGATAGATAGATAGATAGATAGATAGATAGATAGATAGATAGATAGATAGATAGATAGATAGATAGATAGATAGATAGATAGATAGATAGATAGATAGATAGATAAAGTTTTCAATTTTAGGTGAACTAACCCTTTAAAGTAAGGTTAGAGATCACAAATAACCAACCTGTTAACTTTGCAAATTACATACAGATCTCTCAAGATTGAAGCCTGAGTGCATTCGGAGCTTGACCTACAAAGTTTTGAGCTTGATTAAAAGTTTTCTTGGCATCAAAATAAGTGGTCTGGTGACAGGCAAGAAGATTACAGAAGAATTGTTTTGGCCTGTGCCTGATGGGCGGGCTTTGACGAAATCTTTCACAATGATCTATTGTAAGACGACTTCTCATCCGTGCATTCCAGACAGGAGGCCATTCCTAGGCATTAACGTTCCCATAAATGTTGCATTTTTCCTCACAGTCTCAAAAAGTTATAACAGCCAAAAAGTCCCGCAAAGTTCAAAAGGAACTCATTCCAGAGAGAAAAGCCATTCTTAAACATCTTCTCAACTGTTAGTAACTCAAGGAGAAATTTTGAGCACTAGGATCCAACAAGATCCTATCTGATCCATCTCGCTTTGTTCCATCTAATAGAACTTTGCTTAATTTAATATCAAACACAAGGGGACATCGAAAGAACTTTGGCTGCATGGGAGTCAGTTATTCATCTGGCTGTTGAGTGTCTGCACAAAGGGCTTCTTTAAACCGCATCTCAATCAGACCGCTAATACGGGGCCAGGAGAGGCCAACCGTGAGGTGCCTGTAATGACAGGCACATTCCTGAGCTGCATGTCATACCAGCCAAAGAACCAATAGCTGTCTAGCCCACCCGCTGGTTTCACAGCTGCGTCTCTTGTTTGGGTGGACAGCACCAATATGTAACACCATGAAGTATTCCTTAAACTTAAAAACACATTTTGTTATTATTAGGGCTGTACAACAACAAAATGGTGATATCTTGCTTACCTCAGGTTTCCTCCATGCTGAGGTGATTAAGGATGTCCTTGATCTAACCTCAGCTAACAGTTAAGAAGCAGGAAAATGCACTGTAATCAGTCTTATAAGGTAAGCAAAGGGCTCTCAATTCATTGCACCATGCAAGAAGTTCTTGGAAAATAATGATTGCAAGAGACTGAATCCTTCTGTGCAAAGTTTTACATTCCAAGCAACTTAATACAACCTCCAAATCACCACAGAACTGAACTAAATGATCAGAGCACAGTGATTACAAATTATATTTTACTCTGATTATATTTTACTGCCTGTTAAGTTTCTTATTGATTTTAAAATATTACTTCTTACCTATAAAGCGATTAAATAATCTAG